ATATATATGTAAAATTTAGCAACTATGGAAACAACTTGAATGCAATTGCTAGCCTGCATTATCGATATACCCTGGCGGGGTACCAGTGAGAGATGACAGAGGAAGATGAACCAGGTTGGCCCATCGTGACTAATTCATTAAAAATTAGCTACGATGGTTTCCCGAAGGAATTGCGAGGAGATCGATCTGTTTTTTTTTAATGGGTGATAATTGAATGGTAGGGGAGAAAGGGATTGTTAGTAATGAAGACTGAGAATCCAATTGCTGGCAATGTACCCAATCAGGTCCACCTCCACGCGGTTCCCTCTGGAAACTATCATGGTTAATTCCTGATGGATTCATCATGGTGGGCTAACTGGCCTGTTTTCATCCTCATCAATCATCCATCATTGGTGCCTTGCTAGTCATCTTAGTCCTCAGAAATGGCAACGTATTAGGGGTGCCATCTACATCACAGACTATTTTGTTATGTCCATGTTGCTATTATATTTATAGGTGACGGTTACTATTTTCCATCACATTAGCCGTCAGCTTGTTTGCTATTTTATATTACAGAAAAAGTATTGCTATACATTTGCTCGTTTTCGAAAGACGAAGGAGTAATGAAGTAACCCTAAATGTTGGCAGTCCCTATGAAAACACTTTAAAAACATATCTCAAAATTGTAATCCCAGGCTTATTATATTTATTTGGGTCACACGATTTAAGTATTGGCCATGTTTTGTTATGCGTGGACTTATTTTTTAGGATTTGTTTACTCTACGCCCCAGCACAGTCGATTTGGGTCATACGGCCGCTGCGCTGGAGTGTTCGTAGAAAGTTCGTTTAAGGCCATTCATTCGTGCTTGTTGAGGATGCTCTCTGTTTATTTTGTCCATGTTTTTATAAGGGAATACTCACCGCAGAGGAGTTTTTGAGCACCGAATTGAAATATGGAGGTCCATAAATTTAGGTCCACAAATCTATACGTATAATAAAACGGTAACTAGATTGTGTTGTATGTATGTTGGTAAGGTATAACGTGGGTTGACATGTAGGATATTTTTTTACTTCTAATTATCTCATTTTTATAGGAAAATATAAAAATTCGTCACATGAACGACATTGTCAGAGTTTTAAATAAAATCTAATTTATATGTCCCGCCATCTATTAAGCAGTTATTTTGGAAATATTTATGGATGTCAGAGTGTATGTGTATGTACCCACATGGAATTAGTTATATCTCCATATGAATTTGAAAGAGCAATTTGTTACAACTATTTCTTTTAATACTTTTCTGTGTTCACTGACCAGTATAAATAGTAGTCTATTTTCTTCTCAATTTTGTATACATTTATATCATTTTAGTATGTTTATACCAAATTTCATAGTAATTGAATCAGCCGTTAAGGCGCTAAGAGGCAACAAACAAACTGCACATTTATAATATTAGTATATTTCTATATTATATATATATATATATATATATATATATATAATTATATATCTCTCGGTATAAAACACTGAGTGTTACGATCTATTCTATCCTCTATTATTTCTATTTCTATTCTAACTGCACTTTCTAATTACAACAATAATGTTGTCTCAATTTAGAAATATCCTGCTCATTCATATCAGTGTCAGGCAACTAGTACGAGCGTGACGCTATAGGAGCGTTGGGTGTAGGGAGTATAGGTAGTCAATGCGCGCGCGCACGCGTGGGCGGGCAATTTTATCGTGACTCACGGGCCAGATTGATCGGCTGATGCTCCTGTTTAACTTTGATCCTTGATACCGACATTATGCTACAAGTATTACTGATGTTCAGTATAAATCTGCGCGAAATATTAACACTTTAATACACATCACAAAGTAAATGACTTTCGATTGTATATTTAAAAAATCAACGATATTTTTGTGTTCATTTTAAAATAGCTAAGAATAATTAGGATTTTTTTTGATGGTTGAAAATGGTATGGTAACCCCGCCTGCGCTAACGGGATACGCTGGCGAAGCACCAGTGAAGGGTGATAGATGAGAATGAAAACAGGCCAGTTAGCCCATCATGATGAATTTATCAGGAATTAACCATGATAGTTTCCAGGGGAACCGCGAGGAGGTCGACTTGGTTGGGTATATGCTAGCAATAGGATTCTCAGTCTCCATTACTAACAATCCCTTTCCCCCAGAATAATTAGGTTACTAGTAAAGTATTAATTTTATTGTTTAAATTCGTATTAAAATCAATTCAAATTAGCAATGTTTGTCACTACGTTTTGCCATGTATCACAAAGTGAACGATAAAAGAAAACCATTCCTTCCCGTTCTTATTCCAGCTTATCTTACTGCCTACTTCTTTGATCTCATCCTCTGTTCTGTTATCTTCATTCATATATTTTATTGTATTTATATTCCTCTATACAGTCCACAAGTGCTAAAATTGTTAAAAGAAATTATTCTGATTTCTCCAAGCCAATTTTATTTTCTCCAAAAATATTACAAACATATTTTTTTACCCAAAATTGCGAAGAGAATACCAAATCTAACAACGCTGTTCGAAGCGCTGTAGAGCCGCGGGCGCGGGTGGGTCGTCGCCCCCCGTTATCATTTCGGCACAGATTCCTTGACCCCCGCCCTGCCGCCGCGGCCTGCGCGGGCGCCGCTATCGCCACCTATACCAATTACTACTGTGATTTGTCATTTACCATTTAGATATTTTAGATTTATCTAAATCTATTCTTGATAAGATAGACAAATTATTTATTATGTACGATACACGAAAAAAATTCTATAAAAAAAAAATTACTCGCAGATAAACAATAAATGATCGCTAGATATATTTTGGTGTTGGACATTATTGGCATTTGGTGGAATTCGGAATTACTTTGTTTTAATCTTTAATAAATTTATTTAATATTTCGTCAGATAGGGGCATAAGTTAAAAAAATTAAGGGAAGGGCTCCACATTTATATATGGCATTGAAAAATGTGACTTACAATAGGGTGATATGTAAGATGAAATAATATCCATTTACACAAGTAGTTGCCAATGTAAAATTAAACTTCTGTTACTAATAAATATGTTACCAGAGGGAGACTTTGTACAAAAGTCGATTGCTTGGGTACCTTTGTCCTATTCGTGTTTCAACCGTGAAGCAGTTGTGCTTGCATGGCTGTGTTTCGGTTTGAAGAGTGGGATATGGCGTGAATTTACTGGGTACAGAGGAATAACACCTGAGTCCTCAGGAATGGCAACGCATGGGGGGTATCATGGGCGAAACAGTATACTCTGTTATGTCCATGCTACTGCTCATGTCTATAGGCGACGGTTACCACATTCCATCAGGTGGGCCGTCAGATTGCCATTCTAAGTAACATAATAAAATCTCTTCCGCTTCATTGTGTCAGTATTTGGTATTAGTATGGACTTCATTAGATTTTTTTTCTACCGTTTACTGTTGATATCGTGTAATTATATCATAATTAATTGGGAATCAAACGGCGCGTATTTGAAACATCTGAATGAATCGAATGATTAAAAAGTTGTAACCTAATTAATGAACTGGGTCAACATTATTATTATATTTAGCTCTGACCTCGGTGTTCCAAAACAAATGCACATGCTCTGCCAGATAAGAATGTTATTCGAGTCTATCGGTTGATATGTTTTTCTTTAGTTTAACCTTTGATTAAAGAAGTGAATTTAAATAAATATTTTTTGTTAATTGATCGGTAATATTGTTATGTTGGTGTTATGTGATTCGGGCACAGAATGGGCCACTCCTTCCTTCTCTGTGGATGTCATAAGAGACAATCTAAGGGATCTAAATAATAGAGGGATGGGCAACAGCGTCTTTTTTGAAACATCACCAAAACTCAATTTCAGTTGCCAACTCGCCTGCCAAACATGGCAACTACTCAACATGGCAAAACCTCTCTTTCGGGGAGGATCAAAGTTCAACCGTGGTCAGTTTCAGTTAAAAATAGAATTTCAAATCGGTTTGTAACTAATTGAATTATAAAGTAATAAACTTAAAATTTCCTTATTTTTAAAATTGATTGATAAAACACAGCTATTTGGCGGTAGAAACACCAGTGATAGATCTATCCAGATACCATTGTATAATGTCTTCTTATAGGATTGAATCGATATCTAAAAGCTGGGTGTGTTGTAGGTATTTGTAGAGGGCCTCGTCTTATATTCGCGTATGGGGTCAGATAAATTGATGCACGCCGATCCATTGGAATCTTCTGTGTTTCCCCCTTCCTTATACTGTAATTTTATAGATCCTATATATGTTGAAGGGATTTACATATAATGCGTTTTAAGATCTATAATCTCCTAGCTCCGGGTAAGCCAGTAGACACTAGAGTAGTTCTACGCACACTTGTCAACGAATCACAGTTGAACATCAGGTGTTTCTTGGATACCGATCCCTCACTATACAATCAGCACAGTATGTACGCAGACGGACTTATCTTTAATAGTATATGCCTTACCGACATGTGTCCAGTTAAAGCATCAATTATGAGTCTTACCTGTTGCTTGCCACTGCTGTAGACGAGTTTATCCTATCCCTCAGCATTGTCGTTTAAGAACTTTTAGTATGTCAAAGACCTTTCAAAGTCCTGCATTACGTTTGCTGTTTTTTGTTTTAGGTTGTAGAGGATGCTTAATTCTTTTTTATCGTTTATCAATCTATGGTCCTTTGGGAACATTACTTATTCTTAAAAGGATAATAAGGATGTCGATATGATCCCGTACAATTGTTTTGTTATGCAATGTAGAATGTCAATCAAGCTGACGGCCCACCTGATGGAAAGTGGTAACCGTCACCTATAGATATAAACAGTACCATGGACAAAATAGAGAATAATATGTCGCCTATGATACTTTTTATGCGTTGTTATTACTGAGGATCAAGGTGTCCCTTCAAACCGAAACAAAGGCATGCAAAAAGAATTAAATTTAAATTTGTTGGTAAAGACTGGATGAAAAGCTGCATGTTGTTGGTCGCAGGGTGATGGTGCCAAGATGACATTGCTGCGGTTGCTGGCGGCGCTGGTGGTGGTGTGCGCGTGCGTCGGCGCGGAGCCGTACCAGCCGAGCACGCGGGCGCCGCGCGCGCGACACTGGCCGCGCGGCCCGCGCACGCTCGACGACCGCATGCACTCGCAATTTGTTGGGTGAGCATTGTATCTTTTATTGCTTTTTGCCCATTGCTTCATACGCATGGATTTTAGAAGTAGATGTAGTAGAAGACACTAGTTTCTATGTTAGACTTATAGGAATACAACTGTGAAAACCACATTCAATTTGGTGCAGTAATTTTTGCACAATCATATAGACGGACCGACAAAATTAGTGATAAATGGTTTAACCATCTCATCATTATTATTATTATCATATCAGCTTTTAACTGTTTACTGCTGAACATAAGCTGCTCCCCCTTAGGGGGTTTTGCCAGTAGTTGCCACACTTGGTAGACGGATTGGCGACCGCAGCTAGGCTTTGGAGATGTTTTGAAAGCCCTCCCTTAGTTGCCTTTTACGGAACGTCGAGATAATTCAGTTAAATTATCATACTTTAAAATTTAAAGCATAAAACACGCAACGTGAAAGTTTTTTTTCTTTTTTTATACAACTTAGAATGGCAAACAAGCTGACGGCCCACCTGATGGAAAGTGGTAACCGTCGCCTATAGACATGAGAAGTACTATGGACATAACAGAGTATACTGTTTCGCCCATAATACTCCCCATGCGTTGCCATTCCTGAGGACTCAGGTGTTATTCCTCTGTACCCTGTAAATTCACGCCATATCCCACCCTTCAAACCGAAACACAGCCATGCAAACACAACTGCTTCACGGTTGAAACACGAATGGGACAGAGGTACCCAAGCAATTGACTTTTGTACAAAGTCTCCCTCTGGTCTAAAAGTCTAAAAGTTAACAGTGTTGATTTAATTTTGTGACGATTGACTGAATTTACCGTTTTTATGGAGCAAGCAACTTCTTCTTGCGAAGAAATATGAAGCTTCATAATGTTGCTAAAATTTATGTCGTATATTTTGTTAATTACGTATTCAAGTTGTTCACGCGTCGAATCTTGCGCAGTGTTGGATATGCGCGCGTGAGAGTCCCGCGGGCGCGTAACATCTGTATCAACATTGCGTAGAATGCATCGCACGTCCGCGGCGATGCGCGTGCGTCGCCACGCTACCCACATTGCTCACATTCTTCCACATAAGGCCCACCCTCATATTCACTGCGCGGAACTCGTTATCTCCTAGTCTTCCAAGCATGGCAACGCTTGACAGATTTACTGACATCTCGGTATATTCTGTCATGTCCTGTACTGTTCATGTCTATAGGTGACGGTTATCAATGTCCATCAGGTGAGCCGGCAGCTTATTTACCATTCTAAGTATCAGACAAAGCTGTCTCGTTGTTTAGAATGAAACTAATGAAGGCATTAGTAAGCAAAAAAAGGTAGGTCAGTGGCCTTTCCCGTGACGTTTTTCCTTCTTTTTTCTTTTTACTAGAGGGAGACTTTGTACAAAAGTCGTTTGCTTGGGTACCTCTGTTCCATGCGTGTTTCAACCGTGAAGCAGTTGTGTTTGTATGGCTGTGTTTCGGTTTGAAGGGTGGGATATGGCAATGAATTTACAGGGTACAGCGGAATAACATCTGAGTTCTCAGGAATAGCAACGCATGGGGGCGAAACAGTATACTCTGTTATGTCCATGGTACTGCTCATGTCTATAGGCGACGGTTATCACTTTCCTTCAGGTGGGCCGTCAGCTTGTTTGCCATTCTAAGTTGTATAAAAAAAATACTACGGTAAATTATAAAAAACACTTAAACTTGCTGCGTTTAAAAAGTTGCAAGTTCTTCTTCTTTATTTTGCACTATATTTGCTTTTCAGTATTTAGCACTAATGACGAGACAACGGTCTGTTTGCGATCCCATTAGTAAAGTTTACCAAAAGCGGATGTTTGCCGTGCGTGCACTTTCTGTCGCATGCCTCTTGTAGTATTGCAGAGAAGGCTCGACAATACAACTGCAGTGACTGCACCAGACCTTTATGGGTGTAAAATCAACACTCGAGGGTTTCGTTAAAGAGTAATAAAATAAATAAATAACCCAATACTTGGGCATATCGTACAGTGACGCCTAGTCTTAAACTACGACTGAAAATATTGTTGACTAGCGGCCCGTCTCGGCGTCGCACGGGTGGACATTTTTACATTTTAAAAAGTGGCCATTAAGGCTGTACACGCGAGGGGAGCTTAAAAATGGAGTAATTTCTCCCGTTTTCCCAACATTTCCCTTCACTGCTCTGCTCCTATTGATCGTAGCGTGATGAAAAGTATACTATAACCTGCCGAGGAGTATGAAGAATAATTGTACCAAGTTTTCTTAAAATCCATCGAGTAGTTTTTGTTTCTATAACGAACATACAGACAGACAGACAGGCAAAAATTTTACTGATTGCATTTTTGGCATCAGTATCGATCACTAATCACGCCCTGATAGTTATTTTGGAAATATATTATCATGTACAGAATTGACCTCTCTACAGATTTATTATAAGTACAGAAATAAAATTAAATTGAAGGAAATAGTTGTAGTTTATTCGAGAATATCCCTAAGAAAATTTCCATTTATTTTTCGTAGCTGTCGTAAAAAGCGTTTTACAACGAAAGTTTTAACAGTTGCGTTCCTGGAGGTCTAACGTATTTTGATATCTTCTTCTAGAAGATCTTGTCATCTAAAATAGATCATTTTATTTGTATTCTTTTTAAAATACTAATAAAATAGAAATCTTCTAGAATTCTAGATTTCTAGAGTATAATGAATTTCACATGTGCGATTTAGCGTGCAAAAAGCTAGTTTTATTTATGTTTTTTATTGTACTCTGTACTTCATAAGAGTACTAGCGGCCGGTACGTGCTTCGCTACTTATAAAGTGAAATAATAATAATAAAAAAAAAAATTAACATCAAATTCATTTATTTAAACAAAAAAATATTCGTTTAAATGAATGCACTTAACAATATGTTTAAAAATATAAACACAAAGCAATAATTATTGTTGACAATTTGCTTCTATCGAAGCACGTCCAAAATGAAATGACCGCATGAATGACATAACAACATGCTTGTACTGTCAACACTGTAAAAGTTTCTATTTGACGGCACAATCCCTATCTTAAAAAATGATCCGCCATTTATTGAATTCATTTGTTACAAAAAATGTGATAAATGAAGAACCGCTCGACAAACGTGCAAACTTCACATAAACCATCTACTAAATAGTCCGAACAAAGCCTGAAAATGTAGTTTGGATAGGTGAGCTTCTTGAGTTATAAAATTACAACGAAAAGTGGCATTAATTTACATATATATATATATATATATATATATATATATATATATATATATATATATCTATCTCTTTTTTTTGTATTATTCTTTAAGTACTGCAATAAAGAGTAAATTAATAAATAATCCTAAAATGTTTCCTATTGGCACCAGTATATGACCTATTTATCTGTTACTACAAAATACCACCCGATCCAAATTGCGCGAGGCCTGTTGCTATATTTTATTATCAAAACTTCTCGGCCAGAAGGTTATCATAACAGAATACCTGATGTTGATTATTTTTAGCTGTCGCTAACCTGAAGTTCAGTGCGGCCATTATGTAGGAAGTAGGGTTACTATCTGTTCGTATTAGTCTGGAAATTCAGCCTTTTATTCTAAATTTGTACGGCTAAAAATAAACTTTAATGCAACTGAAATACTCGTGTACAAAATAATTTTTTAAATGTTCGTTCGTTTTTTTGGGATTTTCTATAAAAGGCGTAATTCGGTTTCTTTAAAGTTGTCAACGCACATAACATACCCCTGGCAGATATGAGTTACAGTAACCGCTATCCATCAGACGGGCTATATTTTTTTGCTATTGTTATGGTAGGTATGTGTAAAGAAAAATAAATGGATTTTGTGAAAAATAGAATAGACTTAATTTACTTTAATACAGCACGATGGTTTGCAGGGGGAATCACGTGGATGTCGACTTGGTTGGGTATGTTGCTAGCAATAGAGCCCTTATCTCTCATTAGTAACAATTCCTTCTCCTCTCTGAGTGTGTTTGGATTATTAACGCGATACATTTGTCAAATTTGAAGTGACCTAAATAATTTTGATAATTCTCACTGTGATCGATAGAGTTACTTTCCTATTGTTTCCGTAATTTTGTCATGATTAGAAATCGCTTTTTTCTTCACCAAGTAAAGTCCACGTTGTTCATTTGTGATGGTGACCCTAGTAGGAAGCGTGATGGTGCTTTGATTATTTATCTTAGATGCTCGGAGCACACGCTGTGACGTCACGTTACAATTCTGTATCGTTCGTTGACTTGTTTGTAGGCGTGTTTGCTGAAATTGGCATTATTATTCAGCAAATATACATTTGCTCTTTATTCAAATAAATTGTTGGATGATTCATATACTTAATTATAATGCAATTAATGTATTACGCATTATATTGTACTACATACATATTGTGGAGAGTCTACGTTGTTTGGCTAAAGTTTAAACACCCTAATTTCTCGTGCAGTAAATATTTTTTTTTATGAAATATTTTATTAATGAACTTTTCTTTATGCTAGGGGTAGGTAATATATAGTAATTTATTTATTTATAACATATTATTGTTAAAGTATTAAATAGAACATCTATTTGATACTTTAACTTTACTTTTACTCATGCTAGGGTTGTTACATTCAAGTTGTCGAATCTGAATTGATTTGTTTTAAATTAGAAATTATTTACTCTCACGACGGTTTCATACTGATCTGTGTACCAAGCTACAATCAACCATAGTATTCTTGAAATATGTATGAAATAGTAATACACCCTTGCTCACAACATTCATAAATAGATTATTTTATAGGTAACTTACAAGTGCAATATATATATATATATATATATATATATATATATATATATATATATATATATATATATATATATATATATATATATATATATATATATATATATATATATATATATTTATTCTATTAGGTCGATCTTCATACGGTTCGCCCTGGAAACCATCGTGGTTAATTCTTGTTGAAATCGTTACGATGGGTCAACTGACTCTGTCTCATTAGT